TGTAGTCCACTTCTGTATCCTTCCCTTCAAAGCTCAGGGCTCCAGGATTATCTTCTATATCTGTGTTAATTGGTTCCCCTTTTCTTTGTTGAAGAAGGTCTGTGTAGTTTGTCTGCCTATTCTACCATCTTACCGGAACTCCAAGGCTGTACATCTTTATGGAAGAAAACTGCCTCATCTTTCTCTTATTTACAGAGTGGCTGGTGGATTCGAACTGCTGACTTTTAAAGCTGAATGCTTTAACCACTGGGCCACCAGAGCTCCTTCCATTTATAATAAGCAAACCAAAGCCAAGCTCACTGCCATTGAGTGGATTCCATCTCGCAGTGGAATTTCCAAAGCTCTAACCCTTTATGGAAGCCTCATTTTTCCAGAGATGAGGTGGCCTCATCTTTCCAGAGTGGCTGGTGGGTTTGAACTGTCGACCTTTTCATTAGCAGGCAGATGCCTCAATCACTACACCACCAGACAAAAATATGAAATACTTGTTGTTGTTATGTGCCATCGAGTCGGACTCAACTTATAGCGACCCCTCCTTGGGTTTCCGAGGCCGTATCACTACGGAAGTAGATTGCCCCATCTTCCTTCTGAGGAGTGGCTGGTGGGTTTGAATTGCCAGCCTTCTGGTTAGCAGTCAGATGCCTTAGATCTAGCAAAATGCCCCTAAGATTTGTATGCTAAGAAGGAACAGACACTTAGGAAAAAAGGAAGAGTTGAGTGTTTGGAGAGTCATGTGCTGTGCCCATTGACTGACGACTCGCCATGTTGTAACTGTCCCTGATGGGAGGAGTAGACTCGGCACATTCACAGTTAGCATCTCGGCAGGCTCTCTGGGGGTGGCAGCAGGCTGGTTGTGCAGCATAGGGAACACAAAGAAGCTGTAGCTGTCAGCAGTTTTGAAAAGAGCTGAGCGGAAGGCTCACACTATTTCAAGAACTAAACGGGGTTCTTTGTCTCTTCCTGATACTGCCTTTCCCAGCTGGTCCCCATTCATGCTTTAGGTCTCTGGCTATCGTGGGTGCTATGCTCTGGTGCCTCCTCAGGACTGCACTCTGGTACAATGCCTACCCCCTGAGTGTGGGTGGACTCAGGACTGCTTCTAAACTGTTGATTGTTGCAAAGATGACACCACTCCTGGGATTGTGTGACACTTTGTGGCAGAGGGGAAGGTTTCACACATGAAGTTAAGGTCCTTTATCAGTTAACTTGAGTTACTAAAAAGGGAGGTTATCTTGGGAGAGCGTAACCCTTTAAAAGAGGATCTTGAGGTCAGAGTGGTTTCCTTCCAACCTTGAAGATAACAGACAGCTGTGATAGGGACTGCCTGGAGAGAGACCGGGTCAGCACACTACAGGTGGCCTCTAGGAGCCAAGCCTCAATTTCATGGCTGCAGAGAACTGCATTCTGCCCATATCCTCCTGAGCTGGGAGATGGACCCTGAGCTCCAGAAAGGAATGTAGTGCAGCCAGCACCTTGAGATGCTGTGAGTGGAGGGCCCCGCTAAGCCAAAGCTGTATGATAGTGAATGGGTATCATGTCAGCAGCTACATTTATAGCAGTTTGTTAACATGATAATAGATAACCAGTACCCTGTCTACAGACTCCTTGTTCTAGGAGCTTCTCATGCCCACCCAGATGGCAACTGTCTCTGTGTCAGGAACCGTGGTCTCCACTCTCCTCCACAGGACTCTACATACATGGAATATGTATCTGTAGTTACTTGACGCATGATCGCCTTCTCCCAAGGACGGTGCACATGCCCTGAGTCCAGCTGGAATGACTCTTCCAGGCTTAGAGAACATGTGGTTAAAATAATTGAACAAAGGCAGTGGCAGTCTGGCTGCTGTGGTCCCCTGGAGTGTTGACAAAGTATTGTCTCGATTTTTAATTCAAATCATGTCTCTACACTTGCATAGATCTCTACAGTGCTTCCATGTGTGTAGTCACATTTAATCTTTGTTCGGGGGTTTTGGGGTAGGGTTTTTTAAGTAGAAATTACAAAAATTACAGCACTCTTGAGTTCACTTTCCACACGTAATTTTTCTTCTCAAACCTGGTGTTGAGCTGTTTGTGTAACAGAGTGAATAGAATGTCCAGTATGTAGAGCATACGTGTGACATGGTGTCGAATGGTCTTCTGTGTATGTGGAGTACACATACAACATGGTGTGTAAGTGGTCTTCAAGGTAGAGCACCTGTGACATGGTGTCGACTGGTCTTCTGTGCACACGGAGTACACGTACGATGTGGTGCACTAGTGGTCTTCAAGATAGAGTACCTGGGACGTGGTGTCGACTCATCTTCCATGCACATGGAGTACACGTACGATGTGGTGCATTAGTGGTCTTCAAGGTAGAGTACCTGTGACGTGGTGTCGACTGGTCTTCCGTGCACATGGAGTACACGTACGATGTGGTGCATTAGTGGTCTTCAAGGTAGAGTACCTGTGACGTGGTGTCGACTGGTCTTCTGTGCACATGGAGTACACGTACGACGTGGTGCATTAGTGGTCTTCAAGGTAGGGTACCTGTGACATGGTGTCGACTGGTCTTCCGTGCACATGGAGTACACGTACGACGTGGTGCACTAGTGGTCTTCAAGATAGAGTACCTGGGACATGGTGTCGACTGGTCTTCTGTGCACATGGAGTACACGTACGACGTGGTGCATTAGTGGTCTTCAAGATAGAGTACCTGGGATGTGGTGTCGACTGGTCTTTGTGCACATGGAGTACACGTACGACGTGGTGAATTAGTGGTCTTCAAGGTAGAGTACCTGTGATGTGGTGTCGACTGGTCTTCCGTGCACATGGAGTACATGTACGACGTGGTGCATTAGTGGTCTTAAAGGTAGAGTACCTGTGACGTGGTGTTGACTGGTCTTCTGGATGCAGGCATACCTTGTGCTTGGACAATTTATCTTAGAAAGATCAGCACGAGGCTAGTCCCCATGAGGTCGAGGTCAAGGATGTCCCAAATGTCCAAACTACCATACCACTCCATCATTTCAGACATTAATCCCTCCTCCTCCTCCTCCTCCCAGTAATTTCCCCAGTCTTAGCGTTCTGAATTTCGCTGTGACACCTCACAGAACTCACAAATAGCCAAGGGTTCGTTTCACGTAGTAGTGGTGGAGGCTGGCAGGCTGGCGAGTCCCGGGTCCTTGAGTAGGAGTGGTGGAGGCTGGCAGGCTGGCGAGTCTCGGGCCCTTGAGTAGGAGTGGTGGAGGCTGGCAGATCCTCCCAACTCTCGGGGTTTGATGAACCTCGATCAGTAGATCAGACGGCGGCTACTGTCCGAAATCCAGGGGTGAGATGAGGATGATCCAAGAAACAAAACCGGAGCAAGAGGAAGAGCGAATCTTCCCAGGAGATTCGTAGGTATACCCTCAGGGAAGTTTGGGTGATTTTTTTTCCCTCAGGAACTTGACTTCCACCAACAGTGCTTCAGCCCAATCTACCAGTTATAACTGCCAAGGTCTGAATTCCAACTGCCAGTCATTATAGGGAATGACTACTGCCAGCTGCCCAGTTAAGTTGATACCTGAACTTAACTACCACACCACCCCAAACAGGCATAGATAATGGGATTTACAAAACACGACAGAATGGAGGACAGTGGCTAGAAGGGCCACATCAAGCAATTCACTGCACCTTGTTTTACCATGGTTTGCTTTGTCGTGCTGACAGATGCTGCATTGTTTACACATTGAAGGTTGTGGCAGCCCTGCGTCAAGCAAGTCTGTTGGTACCATTTTGCCAGCAGCACATGTTCACTTCATGTCTCTGTCACATTTTGGTGATTCTCACGGTATTTCAAGCGTTTTCATCATGCTGCTGCATGCTTACTAGGCTACAGTACAGTGTAAACATAACTTCTGTGTGAGCTGGGAAACCTGAACATTTGTATGGCTCGCCTTACTGTGGTGGTGAGGTGAACTGAACCCCCAGTATCTCTGTGGTCTGCCTGTACGTGTAATGCGTGTGTGACGAGGTATGGCGAATAGCCTTCCAGGTTCATAGAGTGCGTGTGTGATGTGTGGAATGGTCTCCCAGACATGCAGTTCCTCTGTGGTGGGATGTGAAACTGGTTTCCCAGCACACAGAATGTACATAGGATGTGGTGTCACGTGGTCTTTCAAATACAGATTAGTGGGACGTTTGATACTCAGCAGCCTTCTAGGTCCATAGACTATAGGCAGTCCCTGGGTTACAAATGCTTGACATATGTACACCCTGTAATTACAAACCAACCCCCATAATGCCTCTTATATTACAAATTTGAGATGCACGCAGTGGTTCCTACTGACAGCAGACGTTGCTGTGTGAAGCCCATCAACGAAGGCATTGTTGCTCCTGAATTACGTGGTAAAGATGTTTTGGTGTCTCTTGAAGTGCTTCTTTAATGTTTTTTATGCACAGGTACACACTCTATCCTAAGACAGACATGACAAAGTGATGTTAGATACACACCATACCTCACTGTTCCAGTGACGTGTTTTTGACTTACAGACAGACTCAGGAATAGAACTCCATCATAATCTGGGGAGTGCCTGTATATGTCTGATATGACATCACATTGGCTTCTAGATTGATATAGTACATAAGTGACCCAGTACACTGAGTGGTCTTCTAGCCACATAGAGTGTGCATGTTGACACAGTGCACAGAGTGGCCTTCCAGGGACAGACAGTATGCATGTGACCCAGTGCACGGAGTGGCCTTCTACCCACATAGAGTGCACGTGTGACCCAGTGCACGGAGTGGCCTTCCAGGGACAGACAGTGCGCACGTGACCCGGTACACAGAGGCCTTCTGGGGACAGACAGTGCGCACGTGACCCGGTGCATGGAGCGGCCTTCTGGGGACAGACAGTGCGCACGTGATCCAGTGGACGGGGTGGCCTTCCGGGGACAGACAGTGCGCATGTGATCCGGTGCACGGAGTGGCCTTCCACCCACATAGAGTGCATGTGTGACCCGGTGCACTGACTGTGCTTCCAGGTACATAGAGTACATGTGTGACATGGTGGCAGAGGAGCCCATCACGCCACACAGCAAGCCCATCCTGGTGAAAGCCGTCACCATGACGCCCGTGCCCCTGTTCAGCAAGCAGCGAAATGGCTGCCGGCCCTTCTGTGAAGTCTACGTCGGAGATGAACGCGTGACCACCACGTCCCAGGAGTATGACAAGATGAAGTGAGTATAGCCACGGGCCCGTCCTTGCTCCATGACCACTAAATCTGTATGTGCTAAATGCTCAGGGAACCTGTCAAAGAGGCGCTTTAGCTGTGCAGTGAAAAGCCTTTGCTTAGGTAGATACCTTTAGAACCGCGTCTTTGACCTTTGCTGTAGACTGGTGGCTTTGAGCCGTGTGTGCAGACCTTCACAGCTTAAATCGCACAGGCTTATGGTCATCGACGTGTGTTTGCTTAAGTTACTGTGACCATTGTGCATCGGGGGAGTAGCATCTTGGAAGTAACTTCCTGGAGTAAATACCCCAAAAGGTAATTTGTTTTCGTTAGTACCAAAGTCAACAAGATGAGGTGGTGTGACTTTCAGCATGTGCCACTTCAGAATGGTCTTGGCTTTTTCGCTGAGACTTAGCAGTGCTGCAACAAGATAAGATGGTGTGAGTTTCAGCGTGTGCCCCTTCAGAAGGGTCTTGGCTCTCTGGCTGAGACTCAGCAGCTTTGAAGGTTGTTCTTCAGCACAGTGTTACTTGGTTGACTTGGGCCAGCAGTTCCTCCTCATTCTGTTGTTTAGGGATTTTAAGACTGAAGATGGCAAAGCAGTGATTCCCCTGGGCATAACAGTGCAAGGAGACGTGCTCATTGTCATCTACCACGCCAGATCCACCCTGGGAGGACGGCTGCAGGCCAAGGTGAGCGCCTCCACGGCACCGTTCTCAGTGTGGGGCATGTCCTGCGTTCCGCGGTGGCTGCTGCCAGCCCTTGTCGTTTGCTTCTCATTTCTTTGGTGCTTGGTGATTCTTGGAGGGGGTTTCTACCTCAAGCTCACTGTCCAGCAAGACGTTCAGGCTTTAATCAGACAGATGGCTCGTGGAGTGCTTAACACTATCTGCGAAGCACAGGCCAGAGGAGATGGTCCCCTCAGCCTCCCCAAACCCCCAGCAGCCCCTCCAGCGTGACGGCACTGCCTCGTCTTCAGTGAGCATCTGCTGGGCGCCAGCCTTAGGGCTGCGGAGCCGTCCACCTCGGGGGCTGCTTGCTGCTGGTTTGGGGCCACAGCCCCTGTGCTGCCACTCCCAGGGACTCCTCAGAGCCCTTGTCTCTGGCTGACTCCCCCTTCCTGCTTGTCTCCCCTTCTCCTCTCTCCCTCTCCATCTCACCCCCTCCCCCTAATGTATGCGACACAAAGGACTGTCTCCGGTGTCCTGTCTTCGTGTCCTTAGGAACTTGTTGTACCTGAACTGCCCTGCGACTGACAGTGCTGTCCTTGCGGGAGGAGAGAGGGTCTGTGTGTGGGTCTGCGCTTTCCCTCCTCAGCATGGGGGCTCACACTTGCTTTCTTTTCCAGATGGCCTCCATGAAGATGTTCCAGATTCAGTTCCACACTGGATTTGTGCCTCGGAATGCAACTACTGTGAAATTTGCAAAGTACGTTGGTGTCACACTGTGTGGCTCTTGGGCACACAGCTGTTGGGACAGGTGGAAGATAGGGTGTGTGCACACTCAGCACTGGCGCCACATGTAGGTGAACACAGGACAGTGACTTCCTGGGATGGATATGATGAGTACACCGGGGCAAGGAGTGTATATGGGACTTAAAATCTGGATCTTTCCTCCTGAGACCAAGGTCATTTTCATTTCCAAGGCCCTGCCCCCACAGAGGTGACGGCGATGGCGTTTCACTTTTGGCATGGATGACTCTGGATGGCCAGAGCACCTCTTTTAGAATTAGGACTTCACACACTGAGTGTGCTGTAGCCAGACGGATCCCTCCGCTATTCAGTGCGTATTAGCAAAAGCACTGTGCTGGGCCCGGAAATCGGAGACGAATAAGTGTTCCTGCTGCCCTAGAGCTCACGAGCTGGTTTTAGAGGCAGATACGTAAACGATTAGCAGGGAGGGCTAACCCTCTAATCTCACATAGCACTCTCTCAGGTACAGGAACTTGTTACAGTGGTGTGTTAAATGACAAACAGCACCACCTGGCCCCAGAGCGGACCATCTCATGCACTTGGCATTTTAGATGGTGGTGTCAGACTGCCGTAGCTGACCTGTTTCAGCTGGTGAGCAGCAGGACATGTTTTCCCGGCTTTGATTCTAGCTCAGGCACATGCACAGACTTACCAACAGGACAGAGTGAAGTATGTTGTTCAGAGGCACAGGGAGAGGCCCCAGGAGCAGGAAGGAAGCCACATGAGAGGGACTCTAGAGACAGGTGCCTGTGGCCATGCAGGTCCTGTCGTTTTCCAAGCTCTGTGTTCTGTTTATTACCCGGTAACAAAGGGGAAGTGTTAGGACCAGTCCTTCAGGGCTCTTGGGAGGATTCCACGGACTCTGATCCCACCCAGTTCTAGGGGGAGGAAGTCCGTGTGCTCATGCAGGTAGCGTGTTGGGCCAGGGCCTGGCAGGTGGCAGAGGCTCAGGAAGAGGTAGTGGCCGCTGCTCTCATGGCATCATCACAAGACTGAGGGGGCTCAGTTGTTACGTCACTTCTTCGTATCTCTTTCATATCTTTTTACATTTTTGTCTTTGTTGTGTCTTTTTCATGTTGGCACCTTATACTCTTTTCTGCTCATCTGGTCCCCACTGTGACCTTTCTCCTCTTTTTTTCCACCTTTGTCATTAGTAGGCAAGGACTTTGACTAGCTATGTTACTAAGTTCAAAAACATGGAATGAAGATGAGGACACATGACTTTCCAAGTAATAGTACGACTGACAGCTGATTTTCAGCTGAAATGATGGAAGCCAGACGTGGATTGGATGGTCTCTTCAAAGTGCTGGAAAACATGCCAGCCTGCAATTCTACACGTACAGTGAAGTTAGCCTTCAAAAATGAAGGTGAATTGAAGGTGTTTTCAGGAAAACAATATCTGAGACTGTTTGCTGCCTACAGAACTGCTGCATTTCAGGAGGTGCCAAATGGCAGGTGAAAATGACCCAGAATTTCAAGCCAGCCTGAGACTCAAGGAAAGGAAATAATGAGGCACACTGAAAAGCGTGGATGAGTGTTAACTGTTTAGAACAGCAGTACTGATGTGTTAGGATTTTAAACCTGTTTGTAGGAAAAATATATGATAACAGTAGCACGAAAGGAGGGAGAGGGGACTGAGGGAGTTCATCTGTGTGTGGGGGACTGAGGGAGTTCATCTGTGTGTGGTCCCTGAGTCACCTGGGAAGGAGTAAATGCTGACTTCAGACAGACTGACGAGTCAGGACCGCATCCCTAGGATAACAAGAAAGAGCTAGATAGAGGAGACATAGAATAATAAATGTGGTTGATCCAAAAGATGACAGAATGGATAGAGAAGGAAAACCAGACGAGATGGATAGAAAACAGACAGTGACAGGGTAGCCCACGGTCCACCTAGACCGGTCTTTACATTGACAGTCGATGGACTCGGTACTTGAATTACAAGATACAGACTGTTGGTCTGGATAGAAACAAAAGAAAAAGCTCAACTAGATGCTCTTTATAAAACTCACACTTCTTAAAACAGTTGATGAAACCCCAGAAATGCTGAGTTAAATGATGGAAAATGGCTTATCATGCAAATGGGAGCAAGAGAGCTGATGTTGCTGTATGGATGTGAGAGTAGACCAAGACTCCAAACAGAAGACCAAAGCTCACTGCCATCGAGTTGATTCTGACTCACAACGACCCCTTGTGGGTTTCCAAGGTGGTAAATCTCTACAGAAGTAGATTGTCCC